GTAAAACTAGGGAGCAAACGAAGTTTGCAATTGTGTTACACATTATACTTTTCCTACAGTTATACTAGTTATAAATCATATGAATAATTAGTCTTTCTAAACACTGTACAACACGTTTTTAAGATTGGTTGTTAAATCCAAACATTAAGCAGAATGGGAAACGCTGCACCAGCTGATCGTAGTCGTAATAGATTCAGGTATTGTCAAATTTTTTTTTCAAGCATACACTAATTACGTGCATAATCAAAGCACGCTCTGTTTTGTTTAGTTTGGTTGGAATACTGTTCTGCGCCAAAGCAAACACTGTGCACCAAAGTAAGGCTTTCTGTACTAGGCGTTGCTATATTAGGTGGACGGACATTTTTTTAGAAACTTTTTATAACCCTACATATACAAAAATAATCTTATGGGCAAAGATGATAACCTGATACTGGCATCAATTTGTATAATTTGTGCAAGAAAGCCCACTTTGTCTGGTGACTGTAGGAAATAGTATATTTTGTACCTAGGGCCGAAAGTTTAAGCTAAAAACTACCAAAATCTTAAACTTGCCTGTAATGAAAATTTGAGTAAAGTTCAATCCTATTTTCTTAAAAATAAACCTTTTTAAACTGTCAGAAAACCAACCAAATCGTTTTTTCGGCCAAATCGTATTTTTCGCACATATACATTCCAATTTGTCTTATGGTCTGGAAATCTATGGAGGAACGTCTAAACAACATTTCGATGCACTGAAACGACAAAAAAGGCTATAAATAAGAATCATGCTATACTTAGACAAACGAATAATTAGCTACACAATTAATTTATTGTAATTTATCTTTGGTTTATATCGTATTAAAGTTTGATAATGTTCTGGAATTTGGTTTTCAATGTACAAATGTTCAAAGTCACAAGATAGTTTCTGAAACTCGTTAAACAACTCTCCTTTATATTCTGACTGTCATATTAATTTTTATGAAAGAGTTAAAAAATATTAGTTTTTAGATGAATGCAAAGAATAAAACGAAGAATATGCCCTCCGTGTTTTTCTCATTAGTTTAGTAACTTTTCTGTATAGCTCCAAACTTGAGTATCCCATAGTCAATGATCTAAACTGAATTACAATTGAGGAAGTAGGAAGAACCTGCCCGCATGACAACGCGGTGCGGTGGGTAGCCGCTATAGTACAATTTCACGCCAGTGTGAAACCGCCTTTACAACCAAACTACAACAGCTAAATATTTTAAAATGTATGATTCAACAATTAAATTCTTTTGCTACAAATTACACCCTTTTTTAACACTTGACCAAAAAATACAAAAAATAGCTGACACACTTTTTCATGTCATATTTTAAAACTCATTTAAGTAGGTTAAATGTCAAGTTATTTTGAAGCGGAACTTTGAGTTTTGGTGCCGTTCTCATCGGCACCTAGCGTTTCTATCCTAAAGTAAGATGGCGGACCTGGCTTCAGCTGCTTGAATGTTAGTTAGGTAGGTGTGCTCCATCTATTGTGATCGATAATTGCAGTGTAACTGTTAGTATGACGGGTTTATTTGCAAGGGGGGGGGGGCACGACCTACTTGACCCCCCAGGAACCACCTTTGGGTAAAAAAAATGTAATTGCTTACATTGGGTGCATTGTGAGATTCTTTGGATCTATTGGCCTCAGAGTGGTTTGGAAGAAAGTCATTCTACATTTTTATATACCGGAATGTTTATCTTTTAAAGTCACGTTATAGAGTACAGTATTTTTAAACACTCGCAAGGAACAGCAATACAGTACACCGTAATGATCGCCTAGGAAACCCCACGTCTAAAAGAAGTTGGACAAATTTAGTTAAATAAGTAGCACAGTTAAGCATTCATTGTAAACTGAATAATATATGTGAAACTATTTCACTACTATTCTCTTCGCGTTGCGAAACAGGTCGTATAGTTCTAAAGAAATAAAAACCAGATGGTCAGGCTACAATTATTTCCGGCAGCCACACTCAGTCAAAAACCTACAAGCAGTATACACTTTCCATGGTACAGTGTTGCCAGATTTAGGCTGTCATTCTACGCCATGTTCTGATTCTAACATACTCTTAGTGTATATTATCAAAGCATCAGCGAACCTTGTGGCAAAGTGGTGAACTACATTTTTACATACTCCTATCAAAAATGCATCATTTGACTGCCACCTCAAACTTTGGGAATTCATTTGTACCATCGTCTAGAGTTGATTTAACATGCGATGTGCATACGACGGCCGTATACGGCAGGCATATGCACCGGCAGCCACTTACAATGCGGTTCATCCCATTATCGGCATCCGCATGCTGCCAAAGATATATATATATATGTGTCCGTTAGCACGATAACTCGGGCAAAAATGATCCGATTTTGATGAAATTTTGTACAAACATGTAAACCTACGTTTATTTGGACGAGTTAGCGAACCAGCATAATCGGACCATGGAAACGGGGGTTTATGGGGTAAAAATGGGGTTTCAAATTTCTTACCCTAAAAACAAAAAAGCTTTGCAATTTTTTTTTAAACCGTTTTGTAGAGCTTAAAAAAAGAAATAATTTAGTATATTGAAGTGCTGTTGTATGCCTAACGGTCACGGAGAAAATTCAAAAATCGTGTAATTTAAAATACCCATGTTATTCTTATGGAGAAAATGAAAATTGTTGTAGTTTACTTGTTTATGGATATATATTGAAAAAAATTGACAAATTTTTTTTATATCATCCTATACTATTGATGTAAGGTCAACAAGCACTTTTTACCTTCCCTGTAGCAGCAAACCTAGGTACTAATTAAATCTAATGTTATTTAAATATGGAATAAATTTGTCTTATTTATGGAAATATTTTAGAAGAAATGTAATCAGACAAGATCAAATTCGCTTAGTCTGCAGGTTCGCTGTGGCGGGGGTATTTTATTCTACTATAGAATTAAATGAAGCGCAGCTGGTATAATGTTTAGAGTGCGTGGATTCTATCATGAAACCTTGGTTTAAATCCGTCCAGCCACTAAATGCTTTTAGCAATACAGTTTTGCCACCAGTTTTTACTAGATGATTAAGGTGAAGACAATATATGATCTGGTTCGAATCTAGCGAGATCGTTTATAGACCCAGATTCCACTTGTCATTTGGCTATAGTAAATTATACTATCTAACAAAAGGTCGACGTTAGGTAGTAACAAGACCAGGGTTTGGACCATTCCCTTTCAAAACTTAAAAAATGCCACCAGCGTAAAAACATACAAAACAGAGGTTCTCATATCCATCCATCCATTTAATTTTAAAGGATGTTATGCGATCTGTCCACAAAGTAAACTGTTGACCATGTAGAAGGTTCCCCAAAAAAATAAATAAATTTAAAATTATTTTACTGTAATACTTTCTCTCTGCGTTCAAGAGCTAAGCTCATTTTGCAGGCTTGAGACTGCCAGTGGCCGCATTAAAAGTATTGACCCTCAAAGCCCCAGAGGGAGGGAAGTTGGGGTGGTGTAGTATGGTAAGAAAGGTTGAAGATATGGAAACCTCCAGAGGCCAGTGCAGGACAGGGAATAGGGGAGGGGGTAGGAGGTAAGGGGGCGAAGGTTACATGAAGCAAATATGAAAGGAAAAGCCTAAAAGGAGAAAAGAAGGGATGGGATACGTGAAAGACAGTGAAAATGTTTAGGTTCAGATAATAAGTTAAGAGCTAGGGTCATAGAGTTGGAACACTCAACAAACTAAGCAACGTAGATACAAATATGACTTTTGTCTTTGGAAAGATTTAAGGGTTAGTTAGGGAACGTTAGTGGACCGAATGATGAGGATTCAGAGAAGGCTGAGGGAAGGTCATGGAGGAAGACTTTACTCGCTTCCACCATGATGTGGGGATATCTGGGGCTGAGAGTCTAGAATATTTCAAATTTGAGATCAAGTTTTATTCTGCTTTCACAAAATAAACCTTTTCTCACATTTGAAACATTCGCAATGAAATTTGTTTCTAGGTAACAAATAAAATTTAAATTAAAATTAAGTTATAATCACCTGTTTTAAGCTGCTAAGGAATACCATCGGAAGACTTGGTATTGTTTTGAACTGGTGTCTTTTTAATAGACTCAGATCCATTTTTTTTTTTTTTTTTCAATAAAACACACATATTACATACTTTCTTGAAAATAGTACCCAACATGTTTAGAGCCTTTTTTTCATTTTAAAGATACGCAATGTTGTGTACCAGTAACGAAATAATGAAATAACAAAAATCCAAACGTGGTTGCGTGGAAAAGGGTAATTTAACACGTTAAAATCTTACTCAAGAATCAAACTTGTATGTAGCGCCACCAACTAGCCGTTTATCTTTACAGCAAACACCTTTTCCGCCACACAAGATTGTGTTATTTGTTCTGAAATTTTGCTAAATATCTTTGTATATACAACTCATTTTCAAATCTATCAACGAAGTTAACAGTATAAATAAATTGTATATTAGCAAGGAATGAAAATGTTTTAGTTTCAAAAAAACACCTTCTGAATATTCCTAAATTGCCAATTAAAAAATATTGCTTAACAGGAAAGGGGTTATAACTTCATAGGATACATGTGAACAATATTTTAATATGCAGAATACCTATATTACAGTACTTGTTTCTCAAGTCTTAAGCTAAACTGTGCTGTAAATGTTTTATTACAATCATGAATTTTTAAATTGAATTTTAAGTTAATAAAAGTAGTTTACAGAGCAAATTGCCAGTTACATACAACTATTAAACTAAAGCAGTCTGATCAATGACCAACCAGAAATCAAAAACCATGACTCATTGTTCATAAAATTGACAAACAAATCCAATATTTTTTATAAACAAGCTAGACTTTTACTTTATTCTTATACTGTAGTTGAAGAAGTATACAATACAGTATAACCACTATGTTAGTGTATTTTGTTGCTTGGTAATATCTTTTTTACCATTGATAATATAAATTCGAATTAGTTCAAACAAAACCTGTACTTTAAATACCATGACCGAAATGAACTGTACAAAATCACAGGGTCCAGCTCAAGAGATTATAAAACGTGACCAAATCTGTTTGTGGGTTCAACAACTCAGCGATCCAGAAATGAGAAGCAACTCTTTGCTTGAACTCAACAAAAGAAGAGAAGTGATCCCAGACCTAGGTGTTATTCTCTGGCACTCGTTTGGAACTGTAGCAGCGATGATGCAAGAAATCGTTGACGTCTACCAATTTTTCAATCCGTTAACTTTTACCGCACACCACTCACATAGACTGTGTACAATTCTAAATCTATTGAAAAGCGTCGCGAGCCATCCAGAGACGAAATCAGCGTTCGCTCAAGCTCAGATTCCAAGCTATATTTACCCTTTCTTGAAACCCTACAAAGGTGTTGAATTTGAAAACATTCGCACGACTAGTCTCGGTGTCTTGGAAGCTTTGGTGAGGAACGACAGCGAAGAAGTGATTACGCATCTGCTATCAACTGAAGTTATCCTTTATGTCCTAGAGATTTTAGAAAAGGATTCCAAGCCTTCAAAGACTTTTGCTGCGTCAATTCTTCAATGTATTTTGTCTCATGAAGACGGTTTGATGATGATATGTGAAACTCATGAAAGGTTTGCTCGAGTAGCGACTGCACTTGGGATTGTTGTCAACGAGTTGGCCAAAGACTCGACATGTTCAGACGAGTTCCAGCATGTCGGAGTGATGCTTCACCTCGTGGTACAGTGTTATTGGAGATTGTCCCAGAATTGTCGTGCTCGAGAAGCCCTCAAGAGATGTCTTCCTGATGAACTAATGGATGGGACGTTTTCGCAGTTTGTTGATGACGAGTTTTCAACGAATTGTGTTCTCACCCAGCTACTCAATAATCTCGAAATGTGTCCTTATGCTTTTGAAATGCAGTAGACAATATTGTTTGGGGATGGAATGCGAATGCGATGAGTTCAATAAAATTACTTACTAAAGTTTGAAATTGTTATGGCTTGTAACTGGTACAGTTTAGTTGTTCCAGAGTACTAGCACAGATAGGATCAATCCTGAAATTTATACGAGGTGTCCAGTAAGTAAAGCTTCTAAACTCCGAGGAATGGTTTTATGGACTTAAAATATTATGCTTGACGCTATAAATAAGCTCGATGATATTATATCATATTGAGTGATCTTTTTTCCTACATTTCTCTAAGAAGTTCTATATGATAGGAAAATTAGGAGACTCTTACTTGATATTATTATTGTTCATTTTTTTTACAAATCCGAAATGTAACTTTCAATAATACATTTTATAGAATTAATTACTCAACCAAAATTTTAAGTTAAATAATCACACAAGTTATTCGTTTTAGTTACTTATTCGATTTTTCTACCGCTATATTGCTGCATTAGGAATTAAGGATCGAAGCATTAAGCAATTTCCGGAGGACGTCTTAGAACCATAGTGATCATTTTAAAAGATGAACGGTTTTACTGTAATTAAGTTATACTGTACTGGTACTGTATTATAAGTACTTATAGGTTAAAAAGTAAATTTGTTATCGAACGACATACAAGGACATTTACGCCCAGTTCAACTCTTCAGACAGTAATTAATGATGCAACTTTACTCAAGGAAAGTTGTTTTGATGGTGCTTTGACTCTGGAGCTGGAGTTTGTAACTGGTGTGTTATGCGTAGTTAGTTAATACACACACAGCTTAACAGTCCGTTTATTTTTTACTGTATTCAAACTTGAATAAAGTAGATAATAAAATGCATTTCAAAGCAATAACTATATTTATTGTCATTAGTAAAAAATTAATGACCTAAAATATATAATTAAATACAATTGTTGTAACACATATTTTTAGAAAGAGTAGAGAGAAGAATCACAAATTTCTCACAGTAATTAACTATGAACATTTAGAGAGGAGACTGATTTATGACTGTCCTAACACTAAAGCTGGTGTACGTTATTTTATTTATCTATAGTAAGTTATTAAATTCAATTCGTCATTTTAATAAATTTTACACTTTCTATACCAGGTCATCAAAAAAGAAGAAAAGGCGATTTCATCTGATACCATATATGATTTGGTGGTAACAGTAAAAATATTTGGAAAGTCAAAACCTAAATCTTTTATTTAGATGACTTGTGCATACAAATTATAAAAAGTTAGTTAAGGCATTTCACTAAATACGTCATTTTTAAGTGCTCCATAAAAGTATAGTAAAACACTTATGTGAAACTTCACTACCTACATTATTTTACAAAGTGCTCCTTTCCACGTATTAAAAAAACATCCCTTACCATAATGGACCTCGCTGCTAGAAAAATATGTTTCAGATGCCCTATATATCATAGTAGAGCTTACAGTGTATCAGACACTATTATTTTGCATATAATAATAATCTAAAACGGATATTAAAGGAAGTATCAAACTGTATTCCAGATTAGTAACACATCTCAAATTCATAATATTATTTTTAAATTCAGTAGCTCTTAATATTAAAACAACCCTGTGATCAAACGTATTTTGCAGCCAGTTTAGTAATGCTAAGATAGGGTGACTTTATAGATTATTTTTACTTTCTGGCAGACAGACAGACACCAACTCAATTTTAGATTTAAACCCATAGTGCGTTTAAGATATGATAAACAGTGCTTCAATCGGATATTTCTATCACTCTCATAACCAATGAAATCATCACAATATATCAATACTGTCTATACTTTAGTATCACATATCAGTGTTGTAAGTAATCCTCAGTGTTGTAAAAACTATTCGGGCATCAAGCTGGACAATTAACAAAGTTACCTAAGGTTTTAATCCCAAGGATGAGGAGGAATATGAAACCAAGAGGATCAGATTTTCAATATTTTAAGAAAGAAACATGTAGTATTACGCAATAGGTATATAAATCCAATCCACATCATCGCAAGCTATATATGTGGTACACAACTGCTGCTATTAGTCCGACAGTGACTATTGTTTGGTTGCACACGCATCGCTCGCTGGTTTCAACATATTAATGCAGGACACGGGTTAATTAATTCACAGACCATACAAACACAGGCAGAGTGATTGTGTGGTTATTGACTGTGGGGATGTGTCTCGGTCTATATGGATAATTACACTTGGTACAGGTAGCTTTAGTAAAATATACATTCGTATAACCCGGAACGTATTAATTTAAATGTCCAGTTGTTTTCCTAAATTACAGAATTGAACATTATAGTGAGTGTTTGTGAATATTAAAGTTTTATTTTCGTTTTAGTAAAGGAATTGTCTATTACAGAATATATTTTAATTGGAAAATATGAATGCTGAATCTTTTGTTTGCTATTTAACCGAATTATTTGTCCGAGTCGTATTATCATTCAGGGAAAATATTGGCGATAAAGGATTTCAAATCGATTCTATGCGATGTGTGAACATATTGATGAAAAATACTGTTATAAACAACAAACAGACATTTATCAAGCATTACAGAGGGGGTATATTTTTAATATCTACTGAAATCTCTAATTGTGGAGCTTGCAATTTTAATGCTAAGCCTGGCAGAGAGTTAAATTCAGCCTTTGTCGTTAAACTAAGTACCCGGTTTTGTAGACATACCTTTATTATTATTTGTTTAAATTATCATCCGTCGTGGGACTTTTTTCTGCACCGTATGTATGTAGGGGAATAGTGCCATATCCACTTTCACAAGTAATACTCAATGTTTTCCGTCGTATTGTTGAAAGTTTGAGTCATGAATACTAAGGCTATGAACACAGATGGCAAGATGCCAGTAGCGCTTCTATCTGTCACTTTCAGTCAGGCTGCAGTAGGTCTGTTGGATCAACACAGTTATCTGTCGCGCTAAATATGAAGCAATAAAGTAGTCATCTCCTAACACATTCATACTAAATTTACTTAAGTATAGCACTAACCACTACTCAACATACTTACTTTCAAATATAACTCCCACCTATTAACTTATGCTATACCTAACCCTAATTCTATACACTGCAACCACAGTTGAATAGCAGTTTTCAAAGCATACTTTTTTAACTGATTTCACCGATTTTTAGCGGTACAGAAGGGTTGTACTGGTTTTCTCTGTCAAGAGCTCTTGACATTTTTAGACCCACGATCCACGGAGTGAAGTGGTTGTATTATTTAAGGGTGGCAAAACAATTATCAACCACTCTCGGGAACCGGAGGGTATTAATTAGTGCCATTGGAGGGTGTTGAGAGTGGTGTAAGGGGTGCGAAGAGAGGGGTGGGGTTTTAACGGGTAAAAAATTGTGATTACGGTAACCCATTTAAAAAAAAAATATTTTGGTTAGTTTGAAATTATTTGTGATTCATTACAAATTTGTATTTAATGCAGTGGTGGTTTAATTTGATATTACTGATCACATAAACTACTTTTAATGTCGAAAAGAGCTGTTGTAGAAGTGTTCTTTTTTACGGAAACACCAATGGACATTCATTTGATTCATTTATCAAAAGTCACCCGTTTTTGCAAGAGGGTATATTAAGCATATAGCGATGATTGCGGTATATTATGATGCCTTTCCAAAGTTAACAATGGATGTAATATTAGGCCTAATACATTTCAAAAGAAAGAAAACCAGGTGAATTTAAATTTATCTGTACTCTTGTTTACATTTTAATTCATTTTTAACGAATTTCCCTATAGGGAAGTAGCTATTACCGTAGGTGGCACGGTAAGACCTAGACCCGGGACCGATTTACTTTTTCATTTTGATGTCCCCAGAGGCCAAAAACACCATTCGTTCAAATTTATATATATATATATATATATATATATATATATGACTTATATATATATATACGTCCGTGAACGCGATAACTTGAGTAATTTTTGTCAAATTTTGATGAAATTTGGTTTAAAGGTGTAAAGCGGGATAAACTTGAATGAGTTCGCGAACCAGCATGATCGGACCTTGGGAACGGGGCTTTACGGGGGGTTTTATGGGGTAAAAATTGGTTTTTCTCGCTTTTGACCCTCAAAACACAAAATTTCCCAATTTCTCTTTAGACCTTTTTAAAGAGCTTAAAAAAACAATTAATTTAGTATATAAAAGTATTTTTGTTCGGTTCGGTTAATAGTAACGGAAAAAATTAAAAAAAATTGTAAATTTAAAATTCCCATGTTATTCTTATGGAGAATATTGTCAAATGTTGTAGTTTGCTTGTTTATGGATATATTTTGTATTTTGATCAAATTTATTTATTTTGTACTAAGCTATCAATATTTTACAAACAAACACACTTTATTAGTTTCCTTGTAGCAGCAAACCTAGGAACTCGTTAAACCTAATGTTATTAAAATTTATTTAATTGAAAATCAATTAAGACAAATGGAAATTCGCTTAGTTGGCAGGTTTGCTGCGGCGGTGGTATTTGTTTTTATATGTGCTTCCCAAGAATTGGACCAACGAAAGTATGCTATTGAGATGACATCCAAGTTTCTATAATTACGGTGTTTTTAGGAAATCTTTGCAAGAACTTGAGATAATTACAAGTTTTACCTATGAATATAGCATTTTCATACATTTGCGAAGTATGGATACTAGTCCGAAAATAATTTTGTTCATCAAAAGTTTCTTTTGAACACTAATTATTGCGTTTAAATTATGTTCGAGCATAATGCTATTCTACCAGTTCTAGTTTGAGCTTTAACGAAAGATCAGAATGTTTTTACTATTTTCTTATATCATTAGTTAAATTCAACGTTAGACTGATAATTTCTAATAGGACATTTCTGACCTTTTATATAATTAATTAAAGCTTTAAATGCCCTTACTAGTTTTCAAATATTGCAAGACGCAGGTATCTTTCAATACGTTATAAAAGATTTATTCTTAAAAAGAAGCCAGACCTTATTAAAGTTAACCAAATGAGCTTTACAAGGTGA